CAACTGAGATGAATGTCTTTACTAAAATAACCCATAAATTTTGTCAAACTCAAAAAAAAGTATACTTTATGAAGTTTACTATTTATATTTTATACCTAAATAAACAAGAAAAAAAATGTCACCTTAGACAAGTGATTACCTCTGGCAAGGAATAGTTGCTAATAGGGTAATAAGGGAGCCACACAGGGTGATAAAATATTCCATATCTTGATCTGGTTGGGAGCTGCACAGATGTAGTACATGGATGTATACACACACATAAAAAAGTCACTGAGTCATATACTTAAGATTATAGCACTTTGATTAGTGTGTATTTTATTTTATTTTTTACTTTTTGCTTTTTTTTGTATTTTTTTTTAAAAAGAACCATTTCAGTAAAATTAACAGGCAGAAACTGAGGTAAGGGGTAAGGACATTTCAAAAAGTGAAGGTAGCAATTAAAGACTACTGCCTGTATTACTACTTCCCTAGTGGAAAAAGGTTAGGAAGAAAAAATACAATGAGTAAAAGAAACTTGAGTGTATAATTTGAGGAAAATCCAGTTAGGAAGAAAATCAAGAGGATAATTAACAGATTCAGATCTCAAAGGAAGAAAAAAGGAAAAAAGTTCTAAGAAATTGGGTCAGAAATTTCAAAAGCATAGTTCTAAGTATGTTCATATGAATAAAAAGGAACTTGCCCAAAGGTTCTTAGACATCTTGACTCTGAGAAGTAAGCTTAACAAGGGGCAAGACTCTTCACTTTAAGAGTTAATGTGACTCTGGATTTCCCACTGGGCAACAATCCAGTGATTCTACCAGATCAAGAAAATTAGGCACTATATTCTCTAGTCACTTGGTTGTTTGATAAAAAAATGAATCAAGTATCTCAGTTCTTGGAAAATGGAAGGGGAAAATCTTTATAATATGCCTCTCCACCATTCCTCCATTGACTGTAAATGTAAAGCCACCTTACCAGTCAGGATGAAATACCCACTCAAAAGTCATGATTAAACATACCAAGTGCTAAAATACAAACTTTCATTTTGTTTTTAATTTCTTTGATGTGCACTGAACCTGACACACAGTACAAACTTACTGATTTTAGTAAGACTTTTCATTTTAACAGCTCTAAAATTGAGATACACTTTAAATTTCATGTTATAGTATAATTTAATCAGAATTTTCCCCTTAATGATGCATAAAATAATGGTATTAATCACAATGAAGGATATCTTATATATAAAGAAATGTGGCACTTACTGAGTGAATCAATGTCTAAAAAAATCAAATTTGGAGGACAACATTACCTGAATAAGAATGCTGTGTGCCCTCACTGGAAATGGATGAAGTTCCTCCAATAGCAGTAATTCCTTCTCTCTTGTTAATTATTTTTCGGAATGTTTTGCTGATATCTTTGCTTTTTAACTCTTGCATTAGCTGGAATGAAATATAAGTAAAATTGAGATTTGATCAAATCATAAAAATTTGGTGACAGGAGGACATGTATTTAGACTTCCTTATTTGAAATGACATAAAAATAAACATAAATCAGGTGTTCCTTTAGTTAATCTTAGTGTACACAGATAACTCTCATATCACTTACCGATAATACAAAATGGACAAATGTTTGTGCCCCAGCCCCTGAAAGAAATTATAATTTAAATTTAGCTAGAACACACAAAACTGTTCTTAGTGACTGGCCATAATCTTTTTACTGAAAACCTAAGAAATAACTATATGACAAAGATTTTTTTAAAATGCCATCATGAAGGCATTTTTCTGCGTAAACATCCCAAATGCCTAAATATCCTCCTGCCTCAGTCTCCCAACTGCTGGGATCACAAATGTGTGCCACCATGCCTAGCTTCATATCATTCATTTCCTCCTAACCCCCCACTATCTTTTTTTTTTTTTGGGGTACCGGGGATCGAACTCGGGTCCTTGTGCTTCTGCAGCAGGCAGCAAAACCACTGAGCTAAATCTCCGGGCCCCCAACCCCCTTTTTCCATTTAATATCTTTCTTCAGATCTCAGTTCAGTCATCACAGAGTAAAGGATACCTTCCTGAGTTCCTGCATCCTCCAACTACAAGTTCAGTTCCTTCTACTACAAACTCTCATGGGACTTGTACCACTCTGTCTTATCTTTTGTTCATTTATGTGATTCTGCCTTCCCTACCACATGTAAACTCCATGATAGCAGGAACCATGTCACTTTTGCTCATCACATTATTCACGGTGCCTAGAGTTTAAATATTTGCTTAGTGAATAAAGACTGCAAAACCAGATAATTTCTATTTCATAAATATTTAATCAGCTATATTAATAAGCATTGAATCAATATGTAATTATTCTAGAGCATCAAGCACTATTATCTAAAAACCTAACTCCCATTCAATATTTCCCTTTGTTTTACAAATTATTTGTGGAATTATTATTTCTACAATATTTTGTTGTTAACATTATCACCATTTTAAAGGAATACTTTTTCTGCCCTCTGCAGCCAAATCAAAACAAAACTAGCAATGTCATTATTAAAATTCTTCTTGAAGCAAAAGGATTAGTAGCTAGGAAAGGATTAGATTACTTACTGACACAAACTCTTCAAAACTGATTTTGCCATCTTTGTTGTTGTCAGCAACTACTAGAATTTTCTCCACAATCTCGCGCACCTTATAGCCAGGAAGAGGAAGGCTTGCTTCCTTAAATAGGTCCTGAAGTTCATAGTCACTCACATATCCACTGTTGTCAATATCTGTAATGATACATTATGAGATGTCAAATATCATTTGTACTGCTGAAGATGTGCATTCAGCCATATAGAGGATTCACATGCATGTAAAACCTTTCAAATTTGTTTCACAAGTGGCAGTAGCCTTTTTCCTGCACCAGAACTGTCCAGGGTATGTTTTACACTTTATCAAAATACTCATATTTGAATGGAATCCATCTCCATAGATTTAAGTCAACTATATGTATTAAGTATGAACAGTGCTCTGACAATTCAGTTTTAGCACAAGACTAAGTTTCAAAGAAATAAGCCTGGAGAAGTCTCACATATCTAAAAGAAATATGTTAGCAGTGGTCAAGAGGAAACATTCATCCAGAATTTAACTCAGTGGAATTTACAAAATTAATGTTCTGGCCCCACATTCCATATAAAATGTGTATGATGTAAAATACACCTAAAGCATTTTCATTCTTCATTTCACTTGGTGGTAATTCATTTCATTTGTCAATAATTCTTTGCTTCTTCATTACATATTTATGATACCATTATGTATACTGAATCATATCTGATGTCATTTTGAGATCAGGTGTTCAAGGAATTTCACACTTGGGCCAGGGATTTAGCTCAGTGGTGCCGCAGCCTGCCCCGCAAGCACAAGGACCTGAGTTCGATTCCCAGTATCAAAAAAAGAAGAAAAAAAAGAAAAGAAAAAGGAAGAAATTTCACACTTATATTTGGGCTTTTAGAAACAGGTTTCCAGGTGTTTTCACATTATCATTGAGGTCCCCTTCCCTGGGTGGTTTTCCAGAGACTGGATATCACTTCTTAACTCAGAGCAAAGGTAACACAAAACACTTCTGCCCAGAGTTGGCAACAGAGCTTTGAATTGTTTTGTTGTTGCCTGGATCCACTTTGTATAGGTTCTCTCTGCTCATCTGCTAATAAAATAAGCCAGTCACAAAAAGACAGGTACCTCACTTACATGAGGTAATTAGAGTAGTCAAGTTTCTATGCACAAAAAGTAGAATGGTGGTTTCTAGGGTACAGGAGAGATGGAAAGTGGGAATTATTGTTTATAGGTGTAGAATTATAGTTTAGGAGCATGGAAAAGAGTTCTGAGAAAGAATGGTGGTGCCACATGCAGAACAACGTAAATGTACTTAATGCCACTGAACTATACACTTAAAAGATTAAAATCATACATTTGTTATGTATATTCTACCACAATTTTTTTTCAGATAGTCTTGCTATGTAATGCAGGCTGGTCTTGAACTCACTATATAGCCCAGGCTTGATTCAAACTCATGGCAATTCTCCTGCCTCAGCCTCCTGAGTCCTGGGATTACAGGCGTGCATCACCATGCTTGGCTCTACCACAGATTTTTAAAGGAAGCAAGATGGCATATTTTAACTCTCAACTTTCCCCCAGTGACCCAAAAACATTCCATCTAGTAAGACTGGATGGGTGTATCCCTCTGTCTCTGAAAACAGTTGTTTGGTACAAATTACCAGAGGGTTTGCTGAGTTCATTAGCCATAGTTTATCTTGCTAAAAAAAAAAAAAAAGAGCAAGTACATATTCTAATAGGGTTAATAATTCCCTCACATAAAACAAATTGTTTGCTGCTAGAATTATTCCATTACTGAATTGTTTATTCAAAACTTCATTAAATAAATATTGTAAGATTATATGTCCATGAGTCATAAGGATCAAAGCTGATGTGCTAAACAAAGAAAATAGATTACTCTCATCCATTCATTTTACTAAATGCTACACAGCCCTTTTTTCAAGTGCCCACATAAAATGACTGAAGTACAAAGTAGGAGAGATCCAATTTTATTACTTCCTGTTCCAGTGCCTAAAATGAGCAGAACATTTCAATAATTGCCAGTTTTTGTTTTGAAAATATCTTGGGCACTTGCAACCAATACTCTGTAATATTTATTATTAATAATATTGAAATCATACACATTCATACAGTATTCAAATGACAAACCCACAGGGAGTAACGGAAGGGTCTGCTGTGTTTCATAGCAATCATCTGCAAATCACAAGGTCTTACTTTTTTTCGAAGAGCTTTACTTTTTAAAATTAAATATTTTTTCTTTGTAGTGGTCTCTAAAATCCACGCTGCATTTCATTCACCTACATTAATTTCAGTTATTATTCACTAAGTTTGTGAAAAATCTGAGAACAAGACCAACTGTGATCATTATGTCCTCCCTGGTCCACCATCTGACTTTTTTTTTTTTTTTTTTTGATACCGGGGATCAAACTCGGGTCCTTGCGCTTGCCTAGCAGTCAGCAAAACCACTGAGCTAAATCCCTGGCCCCAGCTGACTTGTTTTTCATTGAGTACTTTATTGCCCGGGAGAAGGTATCTGCTGAGGAAGGGACAGTGACAGTGGTCTCATTTTCCCAAAGTCTATTCACTGTGCTCAACTTTCACTTCCACATATTTGCAGACCAAAGAAAAAATGGTATTCATATTCTCTTTGTTTGCCCTAGGTTTTCTAAGAGGAAAATGCAGAAAAATTGAGATTCAACAGCATACGGGAAATTTTCTGGAAGAAAAATACAAAGCTGTCAAGATGATAATGCCATAAAGACATTTCACTTTTTAAAAGAAAGTAAGACATACAGCCTTTAAAAGCAAAGATGTTTTAAATTATATATGAGTAAGAAGGAAAACAAGACATGGGCTTTAAAGACAATACCCACAATAGATTTAAACGATACTCTTCATTAAGTCAGAAAGTGTTATTGTTAGTGACAAAGACATGAAGGCCAGAGTTCAGTTAATACACAAGGAAATGTTTATTTTTTCACTACAATGAGGGTAACATGTTAAGTGTATTCAGTTACGTTGTCATTCATTAACCTAGGTTACTCTCTGTAATGAAATGGTCAAAGAATTCAAAGTTCAATTCATCTAGAAATTCAAGCCAGTCTTATTTATTTTTCAGAAAGAATCCAGTGAAACCTAGATTTAAAAAAAAAAAAGTATTGTTCTACTCCTGAAGTCTAACATCAAGCAAAATAATAATATCATATTTACTTTTCCTCAAGCATACCTATTTTATTAAATGCTTCTTGTAGTTCTTCAAGCTCCTCCCGAGAAATGGTAGTGGTACTATTTTCCATCTTAGGGCAGGAAAGACAACTTCAAGTCTTTGTATCTAGAAAAAGCAGTATTTACAACAATATTTAGAACATTAATCCTGTGGACACTTCTTTAAAGCAATGTAAGGTACAAAAGAAGTAGATTCCCTACCAAAAAAATCATCCATAACATCTGGCTGAGAAGAAACAAATAGGAGTAGGTCTCCCAGTAGCAGTCTGTCTCAGAACTGTCTAGCAAGCAAGGGCTGACACTCAGTGTGAGGAAGAAACACCTGCTTTCCACTCTGTGCTTTCCTGGGGTACATACATTTCTCAACAGTCTGTGCAATTTTCATTTACATTTTACCTCATTATTTAAGTAAAATAAGCAAGTTTAAGAAATGTAGCATTTAAGTAGGAAGTCAGAAAATAAGATTTAAAGACATCAGTAATGTCCACAAGAAGGATAAAGTTAAGTTGGAGTCTGCTCAGCTAGGGATGGAGTTTGTGGTTCCTTTAAAATAAACCAGAACCTCAAGCTCCTAGAAAAAGAAGAGCATAACAAACCCAAAGCTCGTACAAGACAGGAAATTATAAAGATCAGAGCAGAAATCAATGCAATGGAGACTAAGAGAATGATACAAAAAAATCAATGAATCAAAGAGTTGGTTTTTCAAAAGAATAAAATCGATAAACCCTTAGCCAACCTTATCAAAAAGAGAAAAGGCTCAAATCCAT